GAGGCGGCGGTGGACTTCTTGTGCTACGCGTTCGGGTGGGCGGGTCAAGGGGTCGCCGAGGCCGCCGCCACCCCAGGTTATCCATTCTAGTACGTCGCCTGGGGGTGTTAGTTTTGTAGTCCACACACGCGAACAATGAGTGCGACTTACCTGGGTAGACATGTATGAAATCTTGCTTCGATTGACAGAATTCCATGTTGTCCTTCTCGGCCGGTGTACCGTAGCTGTTGTTTCGGTAGACAACCTTTCTCGACCTGCTTCCAGGCTTTCCGCCGTTGACGCCCCAAGCCTTAGTCAACCATCGGTCGTCATGCGTGCTGACGTCGCCTTCGCATAGCCATCTGTACAACGTCCTCTGTGCATTACCACCGCGGTAGAAACCAGCGCCACCAGAATCTGGCAATGCCTCGTTGGCTTCGATGACGACGGGGTAGTAGAGCTCGATGTTTTCAGCTGGGATGGACTTGATAGCTGGGAAGAGACAGTGACAGTCTGGTCCGTCGCCGATTGGTCGCGCAGGCACGCCACCGAACCCGATTTGGAAGAGCAAGTAAAATTCGCCATCGGGCTTGAAACCAGAGTAGAAAAGATATGGTGAGTCAGAAAAACCTGCTGCACAACGGTAGGCGGGGTTTTGTTGGCCGAATAGCGCTTGCAAAACGTCCATGATCCGACCGAGGAGATGAGTGCGGCAACTGACGGCTGCTGGACGCACGGGACGGAGGATGGTACCAGCCGGGATCTTGATGTCTAGCAATTCATGGAATCCATCGTTCACCACCTACCAGAATTAGTTACGTTTCGCCATATTCTGGCGCTGAATTTACTTACAGCGTACGGATCGTAGATGGCGAGCAAATGGTAACCAATGAACATCTTTAATAACGTGACAGACAGATAGAAGTTCATCGAGCTGTTTGACTGCGGCGAAGTGCCATCCCAATCGAAAATAAGCTTCCCGTTCTCCTTCTTCATGGAACAAGTGATGGCATATGGACCAACGCCTTGACCATCGTCGTCGATGAAATCAGTGAAGCTTGACACCTCATCGCTGATCTTGTCATTGATGATCCTGCTAATGGCAAGCTTGTTCTGCTCCAGTAGGTAATCCGCAGCTGCCTCGTATACCTCCAGACTGTAGCGCCCGCATAGTTCGGTGACACGCGTAGCAGCTGTGCGGCAAGCGGTGACAAGCGCCATGAGGTCACTTTGAAGCCAGTCTGGTGTACGGGAATTGCGGAAGAGTACCGTCGCGAGAGTTTCATTGTAAACACCCTTTGTATAGAGCTTCACAATAGGTACTTGAAGGCCGTCCTCGTAGATGGTGCTGGCGTTGATGCTCATAGAACCTGGTACCTTTCCTTGCATATCAGTTATGTGGCCGAAATTTGCTGCCCAACCTATGAGGTTGTGCTCGTAGTAAATGGGGAGTACAACGAGAACGTCGTTAAGATGCGATACGGCGCCGTCGGTTTGGTATACATCATTTGTGACGAACACGTCGCCTTCTTCGACTGTGCCTTTCCAACCGTCCAGAAACTGCTGTATGAAAGACCCAAATTGACCGACAAGCATTTGGCCACGTCTGTTGGTGATAACATTGAATTCGTCTTGTTGTTCCCGAATCGCCGGGCTCATGGCGCAACGAAGCAGAAGAGCGTCCATTTCTCGTCTGATAGAACCCAGTGCGGAGGCGATCAGAGTAGCGATGATGGGCTGCTCTTTGATCAATTCTTGAGCCGACTCTTTGGTATGCGCGATCTTTCCGTGTTCCTTTCTCTCGGTGGGCCAGATGAGTATGTTGCCCATGGAGTCGATCTTTCCGTAGTATCCAGGAAGGATGAGGGTGTTCGAGTCCATCTCAGTAACAACCGCTGGACCATGTATGATTTTGCCAGCTCCTCCGATCTTGGACCGATCCCAGAAAGTTGCCTCGACCTTCTTCCCATCCCAGACGATAACCTGTTTAGCTGTGATGGCGTCTTCGCAAGGTTCAGAAGTACGAGCATCTTCCAGGGGCTTGAAAGCCACCTCCTCGGAAGCGTCAATGACTTTAGCACGCAAGCGCATTGTCTCCATCTCAGCATGCGCATGTGAGAAGCCGAATTGATGTTGGTGGGCCTCGTTGAACTTGGAACGGAATATATCCACCAGCTCTTGAGAGTTATTGAACTCGTCGGAAGTCAGATCCACAGTAAGTGTCATGGCTTGGCCCTTGTAACGCATATCTGCTTGGTACACGACATGCAGAGCAGCATTTTCGTCTGCCAGCGAAGTCTTCATCGTTCCTACACCGCCGGACTTGAGATTCAACAACGTCTCTTTGAGCTCTTCCTCGGTTATCTCGGAGAATGCGCGAATGTACGTGCAACTCTGCTCGTGCGACATCTTCGTGATAGCGTCACCTTGAGCACATAGCACACCGGGAGAAGGAGGGACGATAACAGGCCAGGAACCAAGAAGTTGACCAAGGGCATTACCATGAAGTGGACCCGCACCACCGAGAGCGACCAATGCAAAGTCGCGTGGATCGTAGCCTTGCTCGACAGAAACCAACCGCAGAGCACCGTGCATGGATTCGTTTACCAGATCGATAATGCCCTCAGCTGCGGAAGCTGTATCAAGACCCATTTGCTTAGCGATCGATTCGACTGCAGCTGTAGACGCGGCAACATCCAATTGGAACTTTCCACCGAGAAGTTTCGACGGAAGGCGACCTAGTGCCAAGTTTGCATCGGTCACAGTCGCTTGGGTGCCACCTTTTCCGTAAGCTGCAGGGCCAGGTGTAGCGCCGCTAGACTCAGGTCCAACACGTAAAGTCTTCGTGAAGTCATTGAATATCGCGATGGAGCCACCACCGGCTCCTACAGTATTAACATCCACACTGGGTGCTCGTACTGATAGGTGACCGATTGCAGTCTCTCGTCGGATTATGGCATCACTTCCCGGAAGTAGAGCGCAGTCAGTGGAAGTTCCGCCCATGTCGAATGTAATGAGATTCTTGTAGGGCGTGTTCTTCGCGACGAGATGAGAAACAGCCTTGACGCCACCAGCTGGCCCACTCATGAGGATGCGCACCGGTGTCTCGCCAGCAAGGTGGGTTGAAGTCAGGTCGCCGTCGGATTTCAAGATGCGGATTGTGTCTGTGTCTTTCTCGAGCTTCTTTTGTAAGTTCTGCATGTAACTCTTTACCACCGGTTTGACGATGGCGTTGGCGGCTGTCGTAACGGTACGCTCGTACTCTTGGATCTCCGGTAATACATCCGTAGAAGTGACGATCTCGACATCTGGCCCAAACTCGCTGCTCAATATGGCCCTGATGCGTTCTTCATGCGCGCTATTGGCGAAGGAATTGATCAGCGATACGGCAATTGCTTGCGGTTGTTGTCTCTTCAGGTCCTGCAAGTCCTTTCGTAATTCATCCTCATCCAGCTCGTAGAAGACTTCACCGTCAATCTTGATACGCTCTTTGACTTCAACAGTCCTCTCGAGAGGCACGAGAGGGTCGGGCTGTTCGTAGTGCATCCATGAGCCTAATCCGCCTGGTATCTGGCTTCGCCTTGTGGACAGTATGTCCTTGTGACCCTTGGTGACGATGAGGCCGCATTTGGCGCCTTTGCCTTCAAGCACCGCATTGGTACCTGTGGTTGTGCCATGGTGTATGTACTCAAACCTGCCGTCCCAGTTGTACTTCTCTTTCAGGATTTTGCGTGCCTGTTGCACTCCGTCTTGCACACCAATAGACTGATCTGTCGTGTTGGTCGGCACTTTTGTACGTACCGCTTCGCCGTTCGGGGTGATGACGCAGACTAGACTCTATTAAAAGATGAAGCTACTTTGTGGAAAAGGGCCGTACCGTCGGTGAAGGTTCTAGGATCGTGTTAGCCGCGCTCCTTGACATGGGCCGTGTTCAGACAAGCCGCGAGGTGCTGGCAGCTGTGGATTCGGGGAAGTTCTGCATGTTCGCCGCCGGTGCCAGGAAGAAGCTAGCGGGTGGGCGTCCAGGCCTCCCACCGGTCCATGAGGCAAAATTGAGGCGATCATTACTTACCCTCCAACATCAACGCCGAGTCTGTAACCGGGCGTGGCCATGGTGTCGTAGCCGAATCGCGGTTCAGCGATGAGGTTGAGTCTATCCCAGTCTTACAACGAGGACTCGATGATGGATTACCGGATGGCCCTGCGTCATGCTATAACCATGCTTTTTGGAGCTGCTGCTAATGCGCCGAGGCCGCGCCGAGCATTCACAAATACAATAGCGTTCGTGCTATCAGAGGCTCCATTGCCGCTGTCAGACACTGCGCTCTGCCCATAGTGGCAGTCACCATTGCGCTTGGGGAAGGCGTCTAACGGATGCCGCAATCACGGCACTGGCGATGATTGGAATGTTGAGGATGATCGGTGTTAGCTATCGTTTGGATGCGGGGTCGGTGAGAGCTAATTGCAGTCGTGTTATCTTGGATTATCTGCCTCTGCCTCGGTGCTGCAGAAGCTGCCGTTATCACCGGATGATGCTTGACGCGAAAAGTGGATGAGGATGCTCGGCGCGTGGACCGGGGGCGACGCGCTTCGCTTAGGTGCTTCCGACGAGGTCGCGAAGCATCACACTCGTCCTCCTCAAATACTTCATCACGATTTTCTATTCATCAGCAATGGCGCTCGATCTAGTGGAGAGAACTACTGACGCCGTGCGCACACACGAGGAGACCAGGCGCGATGCTCGTCTTACGCCAATGAGATCCGACTGTCATACTTGATGACGTCACACATCGCTCTTTCTACTGCTATCCAGGACAAAGAGCTTTGGCAAACCACGACGACGCAGCATGTGAAAGATGCCTTTCTTTGATGCTGATTATCTTCTTTATATGAGAAACTCAGCTGTACGCCGATCTGGCAGCACTTACCGCAGGATGTCTTCAACATCGGAGCCGTCGACCACAGCAAACTGCTACGACGATCCCTAACATCAGCAGAAAGCTCATTGTAGAATAGTAAACATGGCCTCAGATCTCCGGTATCAGTTCTTACAGACCCTTTCTGACGAAAGTGATGATGACAAACACGTAATTATACGTTTGTACATCGCGCTAGATAAGGCCAACATCATACGCGACGTAAGTCACGAGATTCATTCTTCCGTCGCCGATACGTACTAACATCGATCTAGCGCTTTGTGATCAAAAAGGTCACGACGGATGACAGAGCCATCTTCAATGAGCGACAGGCAGTTTGCCGGATCATCGACACCCTTCCCAATTCCGGCGCCATACTAAAACACAGATTCTGGTCGTGTCACGACCATGGCGAGCATCTCGGTCCCGATTCCAAACCCAGGTACGAGGTGAAAAGATATATGGACTTTTGCTCTGCAGGCACACTATCCAACATCATCGAAGAATACAGTGCGGGAAAATGGCAGCAGGATACCGACGACCAGATTCCTGAACCCATGTTTTGGATCACTCTCATCACAATCTCAGAAGCAATCTACAACCTGACGACCGGATTGATGTACACGCCGGGTATGGACGATGCAGCAGAAGCCTTTGGGTGGATACCAAAAGTGCATCGCGACATCAAGCCCAGCAACATCTTCCTGATGGAACCCCAAGATCCCTTCACTTCCTTCCCGCGACCTGTGCTAGCAGACCTCGATGACATGCTCGAGCTCTTCGGATATGAGGAGTATACCAAGAAGTACCACTTGTTCACCCGAGGCTACGCAGCACCCGAGAACAATATCGAGCTGCACACCCTAGACCCCGACGCCCGAGGCTTCGGCTACTTCCAAAGGCAGCCGCTCTCCTGCAAAACAGACATCTGGTCTCTGGGCACCGTACTCTGGGAGATGATGCACAGTTTTCTCGGTCCCCACAAGGCTCAAGGCCTTTGGCACGGGGGTGTCACCAATACTTTACATCCAGATCCTGCACAAAGTCGCTTTCTCAAGCATACCATCCCTGTGCTGGCGCCCACGATAGATGAGCCGAACTACACGAGGGATCTGATAAGGATATTTGAGCTATGTAATCAGAGTATACCCGCAAGAAGACCGACGGCGGTAGGCCTTAGGAGGTTGGTGGAGAGGAAGATGAGGAGGGCGCAGAAGTGCTTGGGAAGTTTTGAGGGCGATGTAGAAGAGAGAATGAGGGTTAGGTATAGGAAGGAAGAGTTCGGCATGAGGCCCAACACTGGGCTTACGAAGAGGCGACGTGGTCATTGGGTGTGAATTCGTAGCTCATCTAATCATACATAACACCGTATCATCGCCGACGCTCCACCAGTCCCCGTTTACTTTGCGGCCATCATCTCCAAGAACTTGTCACCCAGAGCATTCGCCGCCATCGGGTTATCACCAGTAACAAGCTCTCTGTCCACAGTAATACTTCCCATAGACTTGGCAATACCCTCCTGCATATCCGCGCCCTCTTCCCTGAGCGTGCCCTCAACCTTGTCGATCTCACCGCGGAAGATCGTCTCCATCAACTTCTCCTCGGCATCCGACCAGCTCGTCATCTTGTAGCCAGCGTACTCAAACTTCTTGCTGGGGCCGTACTTGGTACTTAGGAAAGCCCAAGGTCCGTGGCAGATGGCCGCAGTAGGCTTTGAAGAATTGTGGAAGTGTGTGAGTATGCGACCGAGATCCGCGTTGTCGCCCAAGTCGGACAGAGGAGCGTGACCACCGGGGATGAAGACACCGCCGTAGTTCTTCAGCTCGTCGTCGCTGATCTCGGAGAACTTCTTTGGTCGCGAGAAACCGTTCTCTTTCTTCATACGCTCAATCAGTTCGAGCTCTCTTTGCTTCTCGTAGTAGTTTCCGGCGAAGGCGGCGAGAGATACGCTGAGGGGGTCTGGTGTTGGCTCCTTGCCCTCTGGTGATGCGAATGTGACTTCGTAGCCGGCGTCGAGGATCTTTTGTAGAGGCTTCGCTAGCTCCATGAGGAAGTAGCCTGAGTCTTGAGATACGGTCTTTCCATCACTTCCGGTGTTGTATAGGGGGAAGGAGGACGCGTCGGAGAGCACGATGAGGACTTTCTTGTTTGCCGCCATGATGGCTGATTTGGAGTTGTATGTGTAGGTTGGTGGGAACTAGTTATTTTCTGTCTTGGAATCTGAGAAGTCAAGCGGGTATCAAGCTGCGTTGTATAAGAGATGGGAAAGGGCGATATGAGGGGTTGGTATATATGTTTATGGTTTTCGCTGCAAGGTCAGTATGACGTAGGCGCCTTCTGTCTTTTAGAAACGTCACACCCACCCAACTCTCCACTTAGGTAGTCGACGTGTTGCATAAACTTCGATGCTCTGTCTCGGATAACCTCGGCACGATCTTGCGTCATTGTCCTGATTGGCGACCTTGTACGCGAAGAAGACACGTCGCGTCGCGTGTGAAGGCGGTTCGTTGCATGACTCGTCCCGCATCGCGAGATGACTCGCTTGTGCCATTCATCTCAACTCCTCAACCCCTCCAAACATTCACCACGAGCGTACGTAACTGCAAGAGAAAGAAATACATATGGCCAGACTACAGAACAACGCATGTACAGGTGTCCTGAACACGTCAAAAGCACACTGGTTGGCCCAAGGTCCGTGCCGCGAGAATCCAGCAGCATCACACGTGGGTTCACAGCGCAAGAATCGCAGTCCTGGACGCCTGAAAGTCGTGCAAGAGCCTTGTTGAGGCCGTCGCATTCAGGCAACAGTAAAAATACCAAGAAGACAACATGACAACATCACGCATAGTTTGAATCATCCTGTAGCAAAACGGATATTATATCAAGCGGACTCCAGCTAGATGATGCATCGATGCTCAACGCTACTGATATTGCCACCCACCATCCTGCACACCATCTACTATGCGCCTCTACACTCACCTATCCTTTCTTTTTTCCATCCTGTCAACTGCGCTAGCGCTGTGGGATTCAAAAGACCCCTGTCCCACTTCCATCGAGGCAAAAATTGATGCTGACCCTTCCCGGTCCCTCGACGACCGCTACCCATACGAAGTCACACCCTTCACAACCTGGGACTCCGTCCACTCAGCCCTCACTACCTGCCCTAACATATCCACCCTCAACATCGGTATCTACGGGTCCTGCAGTACATGGCCCGACCGGATGAACCTACCGCTCAGCCCTTTCGGCGGTGAAAAGTATCCCGATATCAAATCTTTGAAGGTTGAAGGCTATCAGTGGGAGACATGGCAGCATGAAGAAATTTGGAAAGGGCCGAAGTGTCTAGCGCCAGGCAAGCTGGAATGTTTCATGGACACATTGTATTGGGTCTACAAAGGCCATTGGATAAGCTGGCTTGGATGGCGCACTCAATCGAAAGAGCAGTGCAAGAAGACCAATGCGGAGCTTTGGCTTGACGCAATGAACTGGACGCGTATCGAGGAGCTTTCTGTGGACACCGTCCCGGAAAGCGTGCGGAAGGTTCTCTCGCAGTCGCGAGCGTTGCGCTCGCTAAACACGACAGACAGCGAACTCATCCTCGGCTTACCAAAGAACACGCTGACGCATCTGTCTCTTATCAATGGCGAGCGCGACACCATCCTCTTCGAAGATATTCTGAACCAGCAGGGCGGATCTTTGAAGAGTCTTGAGATGCGCTGGAATACTGAGCATCATCCATGGAGGTATGACGGCGATCTCGACGACGAGATTCAGATGATAAGAAAGAGCGCAAAGCAAGTCAAGCATCTAAGTATAAACATCTTCCGTAATGCTAGCAGCTCACCCTTGGAAACGCTGGGAAAGATCGTTTCCATACCCACGCTACGAGGAGCAGACTTTTGGATAGACATACTCGGGCCACGGGAGTGGAGTTACAAAGAGCTCCGCGCCCTCGGAGAACAGCACGCAGAGGCAGAAGGCGGCAGATACCTATTTCTCAACAAAAAAGATGCGCTGAATATCTTCAATTACATGCGAGACAAGAAGCAAGGGCAAGAGCTGGAAAGAGCAACTTTTTGGATTGGTGACTGGACACGGAATTGGCTCTGGGAAACCCCAAGAGCGCATGTAAAATGTGAAGCGAAAGCAGATGTTGATATGGAAGACTGGTGTGTGGTGGATGATCAGTGGCCACACTACCCGATGTTCGTGCTCACTCCACGGATAGAAGCCCTGGAAATTATGGACACGGATTTCCGATGTGGAACGACATGAGCTCTGAACCTTGAATCTACGTTGGCTTCTCGGTAGATACATGCATATGTTCACGACTTTAGTCGTGACTGACGGTGGGATCCCATGCGCAGGGCTCATACACTCCAGTATCCAAGCTCTCCATCTCTTCGGCTGTGAGCTCGAAGTCGTAGATTTGGGCGTTCTCCTCGATGCGAGATTTGGTTACAGATTTGGGGAGCGGTATGAATCCCTGTAACAGCATCATCAGTTCGATGCTCTCTAGTAAGAAGCTTTTGCATTTATACTCACCATTTGTATACTCCATCTCAGCAAGATTTGTGAAGGCGTCTTGTTGTACTTCTTCGCGAGTGGCTGGAGCAACGGATCGTCGTTCTTCGTTGCGCGCACGATCGGACTGTATGCTTCGCATAGTACACCCCGCTTCTTGCACCAGTCTACAATATCTGGTCGCGCGAGCCATGGGTGAAGCTCTACCTGATTGACGCTGAGGACTCCACCTTTGCCCTTCCCCTCTTTTGCCTCCGTCTCTTTGATCCACGCTTCTAGCTCATCTAGATGACGCACGCCGTAGTTCGAAACGCCAATTGAGCGAATCTTGCCTGCCTGCACACCCTCAACGAGCGCTTTCCACGCACCGATGCGGTTCTCCTTACCGCCGTAGGGACTGTGCAGGAGGTAGAGATCGACGTAATCGAATCCGGTGATCTTGAGGGTGTTTTCAATGTGCTGTTTCGAGTTCTCGTAGCTCATGTCTTTCGGAGGGATCTTTGTCGTGAAGAATAGCTCTTCTCTTGGAATGCCCGACTTCTTCATGCCTTCCGCAGATGGTTGCTCGTTCCGGTAGGCGACGGCAGAATCAACGTGGCGATAGCCGACTTTGAGCGCGTGCTCAACCACCTCGGAAGCGATGTCTGCTGGTGTTTGGTAAACGCCATATCCAAGGACGGGGATCTTGTAGCCTGATGGCATGGTCTGTTGCGAGTTGATGGTAAGCCCTGCCATCATTGCTGATGACGTATGGAAGGACCGAGGTGATCTGGGAAGGGGCAATTGAGAACGTAGATTTGACAATCTTGTGAGGGCAGCAGTACGCATAGTACCTTTGCAACGGAATGAATGGAAATAGTTATATATCTTGAGCGGCTGTTGCCTCAAGGACGGGATGATACCTGTAGGAGTATACTCCGGCGAATCTGGAAATAACGGACATAAAGCGCCAAGGCCGAAGACTAAAGACGCGTCATTAGCAAGATCACCTACATAGCTACACCGTATAGCGAAAGAAAACTTTATCATCGTCAGTCCATCGCACTTTGGAGATACTTCATCGTCACCGCTTCTCTTTGGGCCCTTTTACTACCAAATTAACCTCAACGGCGCGTGAGCCTCTTACCACGCGATTCGTCCCAAAACGGCAATATTAATATCAATTCGCAGCCACCACTTAAGGGCATATGACGCAGCAAACGACCCAATGTAGCAGCACATAATTAGGCAAATTGCCGCTCTTTCCTGTCACTCTGCAACTATTTACCCAGCGATCACCGCCGTTATTGACGCCTCTTACGCTCAACACATATATGCGAAGCAAGACAGGCATCGAGCTCCCAGCTCTCATGCGAACCCCAGGCGGCTTCGCGGGCCTCAGCTGCACGGGATCCGAGATGACGGGCCCTTTGTCAGCGCTAGAAGGGCCGAAGAAGATCTGGAGAAGACGCTGCAGACTGGCGAAAGCTGGTGGGGCGAACGCACGCGAATAGGCGCCTGACACTATGGATAATTACAATACCACGTTGCGCATGCGAGCCCACGGACCTGAAACGTCCCGACCCCCCTCCTTTTTGGACCTCTGGGTCGCGTAAAGAGTATGAGCTTTCTGCAAGAGGATAGCAGGTTGCAGGCCTAACTCGTTCCTCCGACACACCGATGGACTGGCCCTTGGTTCGGCACCCCGGCAGCGTCTCAGGAGTCGGTTTACGTTTCTCAACTTCACGGAGTGTAGCACGACAGCTTTCCAACATTAGCCGAAGAGTTTTGTACGACTGGTTTTCGATGGATGCCGATCGCATTATCGGAATAG